GAAAGCTCATGACTCTCTATATATATTTGTTGTTAGTTTCTAAGGTGCTATGGACTACTCATTGTTTTTTTTAAAATTACAGACTAACACGGCTACCCGTCTGATACTTCTACATAAAGTGAATGTAACAATGCTGCACAGAATGGCTCCTCAGAAACTAGTATTATGCAGAACAGAAATTCTCAACATTTTTACTTCTGAGGACCCATCAACATGCTATAAAAGCTCCACAGCCCAGCTGTGCCATAAGGGGCACCACAAAGCTAAGTTGCTCAGGCTTTTCTTCTGCCAAGATGGTAGGGCGCTGGTCCAGGCCATTCTGTGGGGCTTTGGTTTTTGGCCCTGGGATGTAGCACATCTAACGCCCCCCCTGAAACCTGCTCACAGTCCCCCAGAAGGCCCTAAGCCCCTCGTTGAGAACCACTGATATACAGTAAAACTTCAATTGTCCGGCATCCAGTGGTCCGGCACTCCTGATAGTCTGGCACCAACTGCAACCCGGAAGTGCTCCGGCCAGCTGGAAGCCCCGCGCCGCTACGGAGAGTTTCCAGGAGGGGAGCAGGCTCCCCACCCCCCAGACTTCAGTAGTTATCGCTGAGCAGGGGGGTGAGGGGCGGCGCTGTAGGACCAACCCAGCAGCACCCCAGCCGCTCTGCTCCCCTGTGCCCACCCCAGACCCCTCATAGCCCCCCTTCTGGTACTCCAGCATATCTGATAATCCGGCACCCCTTGGGTCCTAAAGGTGCCGTATTATCGGAAGTTTACTGTAGAACCTTTTTCCTATACCATATTAATAAACGAGACTGACATCAACTATTTGGGTTTTTTTAGGTATATTTCATTATGAATGAAAGTTGGTCAAACTGAGGATACAATTTATGAACATAATAAACTGCAAATCCTCCTCCCTACCCCAAACTTTCATGTGCATATTGAGTCCCTGCAGGTGTGCCTGTCTTCTGAACCTGCGTGTAAAAGCATTTCAGAGCATGTTTGTTTCTCTTCAGCTAAAATCAAGTGCAGTGTATCAGTTTAATATCTAAGACGTTCTCTATTGGGGATATATTGCCCCTGCAACAGGATAGTAAAGCTAGTAGATTTTTATTGCTAATCTTGTAATTTTTACAATTTGGTACCATGATACTCTTTCATAGACTAGAGGTTCCCAACAGCCAGCCAGCAGCCTAGTGCTGGGCTGCAAACCACTGGCTGCTGGGCCACAGCGACTCTCAGGGCCGGGGCTTGGGTACGCTGCCCACTGCCTCTCCTCCCACCACGACTGTTGGGAGAGGAGTGTCCTGCCCCACCTCTCAGCCAACCAGTCCTAGAAAAGGGCGGGGTCTTGTCCCGGACGTAGAAGAGCAGTTCACTGCATGGTGGGAGGGCCGCACGGAGCCCGGCATGGCAGCCTTAGAGCAGCTGAGACCTGGAAAGCAGGTGAGGGGGTTGGGCAGGCACTGGGGGCTCCAGGAGCAGGGCTAGTGGTGGGGGATTCTGGGAGGGTGGGAGCTCTAAGAGGCAGGGAGCTGGCACTGGGGGCTCTCGGGATAGGACTAATATTGGTCACTGGGAGCTGGCATTGGGGGGGTTGGGTGCAGTGGGGCTGTGGAAACAGGAGGCTAGCACTGGGGGGTCTGGTGTTGGTGGAATCTAAGGGGCAGGGGCACGCACTAAGGTGTTTGGGATGTGGGTCTGGCACTGTGGGGCTCTGAGGGCGGGAGGCTGACACTGGGGGGGTTGAGTGCAGGGGACATTAGGGGGGTAGTGGAGGGGTTCAGGGCTCTAGGGGTTAGGGTTT